CTGGTGCAGGTCATTCTCTCATACCAGTACAATCTTGTCACAGGGACATTTCTCTTTCTCTCAGGATTTTTCATAGAGGTGCACAGAGAGAAAGAAAGAGAAAACAATTTCTCGTTCTGCTCCTTGTTTTTCTCATGTGGAATGTTCTTGGAGAATTGTTTACCTGGGGTGATTGATTGGTTGGATTCTGGTGAGATTGAACCTGATGGCCAATCCGATCCACCTGTGTCTGGACTCTCATGAACAGGGTCACGAGTTGTGAGTTAGATATGGTAGTTATAGAAAGTTTTATGTAGTTTAAGAATCTTCCTTTACATAGTATATTAATGTATTATAGCATAGTTATAATAAAGAAATCATTCAGCCTTCTGAACTGAGTCACACATCATAATTTCTTCCCATTGGGTTTGCCTGCATTTACAATACAATCCCACTAGTTTTGTCTTTATGTTAGGAAATTAAATATGTGTGCCTGAAAATGTATAACAATCTATCCCAGGATAACTGCTTGAAATACTTTCCTGAAATGGTCTTTCACTCACAGTGGTTGTGTCCTAATCCCCTTTTTCAAGCAGTAGGTAATATCTGCTGCTTCACAGTACATAGCTCTGCCCAACTTTATCCCTTGTTCATGAAATAAAATACTAGCTACTATGAGTTCTAGCCCACCAGTTTAAAACACTGAGAATGGACTTTCTTCCACATTTTCCTATTCCTGCTCTGTGTACTTACAGACATATTCTTCTACAGGTCAAGAAAGAGCTGGGAATACAACTTCAGATTTCCCCATTGGACAGGTAATCTTGAATTGTCCATGGGGCTACCTCACTGTGTCTTTACATGTTCATCTGAATTCTTGCAGTTAGTTAACATCTTAGTTATTGTGTCTTTATCAAGTGACACTGTGAAAGTCAAATCAAAGCTATTTGCAGAGTTAGGCACATGTCCTGTAGTAATTTCTTACCAGCTGTTTGTTATCTCTTCCTTGTGTCATTCCTACTGCTGCTTTCACATCTGTCATCTTTTTCTACTATAAAAAAAATTCTAAAGTTAGAAACAGTTAAACTTCCCCCCAGTAGAAATACTTTTTACTTTTCTTTGCAAAAGTTTACATGAAGCTTTCATGAAGTCATATCCTGTTTTGATGGTCTACAAAAAGCTTCCATTGGCCTCCCACTAAATGCTAACTTCTCCCACTGCTCTTCATGTCCATTTCCCCCATCTGAATCTTTATTTTAATATTCTTATCTTTGTTACACTGCCAAACTTCATCAAAATAAATTAGTCTGCTTTCCTGCTGATTTTTAGTTACCTCTCCAAATACTCAAAGGATTTATTTTGTTCTTCTAGTCCCTACAAAACCTTTCTCTCAAACAGAGCTTTTTTGTTGAGATTCACATCTACCAGTTTATACTCCCAATATTTCTTTAAAATGAAGCAGGACTCCAAACCATAGTCAGGCCCTGGTAAAATATGAGGGGCATAAATGTACTCAGAATTTGAGTATAGGGACTAATTTGTTGTATATCATGTAAAAGTAGCTGGTTTATTACTTCTTCCGTGAAATTGCTCTAAGTAGTCTCCGGTGGGTATATTTTATTTGTGCACAGAAGTAATACAGCTTGTTCTTTTTCTTTTTCTTCTCTTTTTTTTTTTTTCTTTTTTTTTTTTTTTTTTTGTCTTAAGATGGAAATTCTGGGTCTCTACACTCTCTTAGCAGCCACAGCATGGATGAAAATCTGTCTGTAACTCAAAGTGCCAGACTTCTTGTGCATCCATACAGTGCTGTTCTCTCAACTGACAAGAGAGTTGTTTCAGATGCCTCAAGTTCTGCATCCCATGTGCTGCGGTCATCACCGATTCCTTCAGGTACAGCAAACACTACTTGATTCCAAGACCCACAATAAGTGTTCTAACATTGAATGTATGTCTGTATGAAATGGATACTGGAACTGGTATTCACAAGCAAAATGAAAACAAAACATCTGCATATTAATAATGCAAAATTAAGTAATTCTCTCCTTGTTGACTTATATTACAAAGTAAGCAAAACACAGTGAAAAATGTGATGAAGTACAGGTACCTGTAGCTACTAGCTTTTTTTCTTTCCTCTTAATCAGATTCCTTCTGCCATGGGTCTTCTTTATCCCATTCCCTTTGCTCATAGTATTTCCATTATTTCCTACTGCTGTAGCAGTGCTCCAGTCCAGCAGAACAGGGGAGAAACTTAGCTCAAACTTAGTCACCTTGTTGCCTGTCACTTCACACTTTTTAGGCTTTCCAGTCTTCCATTTAGTAATGGTGGGGCTGAGAAAACCCAACAACTGTGTCAGCATATCACCTGTAATGATCCTCTGTGTTAGTTAGGAGCCCACTACGTTATATTCTTGTGCATCAAATAACTGTTAAAAGTTAGCACAAAAATTAACAAAAAGAAACTTTAATGAATAATTATTCATATATATTTTTGAGAGGCCACATAATAATATGCAAATTTATAAAGATCTGTTGCATATAAAGATCATCTCTCTTCTGGAAATATGAGAATCAACACTCTTTCACTATGTGAAACCTCAACTTAAGAAAAATAGCAGGAAACTACAGGGATGTTTTCAGTAATCTTCAATAAAAATCGCCCTGGAAAGTAAATTTACCGCCTGTCTCTTTTTAGTACCATGTCAGGTTGAACACTGGAACAGGTTGCCCATGGAGGCTGCAGAAGTGCCATCACTTGGAGAGGCTCAAAATTCAGCTGGACAAGGCCCTGAGCAACCTGAGTTATCCTAGAAGTTGGCCCAGCTTTAAGCAGGACATTACATCTGATGACCTCCTTGAGGGTGCCTTCTAACCTAAATTATTCTGTGATTCAGATAGAATAAATACTCTAACCACAAAATTTGTCAAATTGGAACATTTTAACAGTTTATTTCCAATTTGTTATTTATTCTGTGGCAATATTTGTTGAGACAGTTACAATCTCTTCCTTTTTTCTAATCCTTTCCAATCTCAGATTTTGTATTGGAAACCATACAACAGAATGTAGCTCATCAGTGGATACAAAGTAAAAGAGAAGAAATTATTGATCAGATGACTGAAGCATGTTTGAATCAATCACTGGATGCTCTTCTGTCAAGATTTTTACTCATGAAAGAAGATTATGAACTTATAAGCACCAAACCTACAAGGACATCAAAAGTACGACAACTGCTTGATACTTCAGACAGTCAAGGAGAGGAATTTGCCAGAATTATAGTACAGAAGTTGAAAGATAACAAACAGCTAGGACTTCAGCCTTATCCAGATATTGTACCTAATTCTCAAAGACTGCATCTTTAAGTTTATTCTTTCTTTATGAAACCATGTGAATATTTCTTACAACATGATTCTTGTTTCTATATAGTATTTTATTTATGTGCAGTTTTGTTTTTACTGTGCCTTTGTAGACTCTCAGAAATGACCCTGACTTCTTCTAGCCTGCATTTGGTCAGTGACCAATTAAGTCATTGGAGTGCAGTCATAAAGCCAAACACTTGACAGTTGTTGACTCACTTTGTAAAAATATTTTGTTTATACATGACAAAGAAAAACATTAAAGGTCCACCATTTTACGTATTTGCCGTTTATACACATCCTTTCATTTCATCTCACAGGATTGAGATATCTCATTTTAACATGGCATGTTTGTTTTTCTCGTTCCATCTGCTCTTTCTCACAGAGGAGGTAAAAAAAAATTAGGTGCTCTTTTCCAGGGCTGTTCTGCTGTGTGTATAATAAACTTCCTTCCTTAAGCCATGCTGGTGTGCATACAGGAGAGGAGTGGTAGGTGAGAGGAAGTTTATATTGCATTTTTGCAGGTTATTTATTGTTTTGGTTTGTTTTTTTTTTCCTCATTTTGTTGCCAGAGCAAGTGCCTCAGACTACAGCATAAGAAGAATTTTAGTCCAAAGAGGAGCCAAAGGGGAAGGAGGACGTTGTGCTTATCATCTTTGTTCTGCTCAGAAGTGATATAGTAGAAAGGCTGCTGCTATAGCATCTTACATTGTGTGGTTATAACCACTTCAGCTATTCTTGAGATCATAGTAGGGTGAGATCCAGGAAGAACTTACATAAGGGCATCCTCAATTAATACCTCTTAAACATTTCCTTGGTCACCTGCCTTGCCTTTGTCACCTGCTATCTGACCACCCCTTACCATTCTCATCTGCCATAAATACTTCTCATGTGATGTTGCTAGATCAAACTTCTAACTTAATTTTTGGTATTTACATAATGAACTACATAAGTAGTTTGGTCTGTACAAAGATCAATTGTGCCCTGCCTTGCCATGCTGGAAGTAATGTGCAGGGCTTTCTTCTGCTATCACCTGCTTTAACCTTCTCCAGATCACACTCTCTCTCCTTTTTTATCTGAAAGTAACATGTTGAGGCACAGGTGGGGCTACCTGAGAGGAAAAGGTATGTGGTATTTTTTTCAGTTCATTTCACAAGCACTTAGTGACTTTATCTAGATGACTTCAAAACTAGTAAAAAAATTACTTGTTTTAATTTGTCAGAACACAGCACAGGCAGATTATTTTTGCAAGCACTAATAAATAATTACAATTTCTGCTCAGACTATCTAAAATTTGGGAAAATCCAAACTCCACATGCAAGAATGGTGAAATATATCTAAATTACCATATAAAAAGGAGCAGATAAATGAAAAATCCTAAGTGATGGCTGTTCCCAAACCTATGGAGATGTGAGATCTCCTCCATTTCAATGATTCAAGTTTCGGCGTGGGTATTACTGGTTGCCAACAGCTTACTTTTTTCAATATCTTTATGATTTTGTGAACTGACTTACAAGAATACAATGTATAGTTTAGTGGATAGCAGAGGTTTAAAATTGTTTTTAATAAAGTAAGTTTTTGACATGAACTGGGTATTTGCCTTTTATCATGCTTCTCTCTGGAAGCTGTAAAATTAAAGTTAGATAGCTGAAACCAGGATTATGGTGCAATGAATGGCTGTGGTTTTCCTAGAGCAGACCTAATGATGTCTAGCAGGGAGAGGTCTGAGGAAAGCTGATGCCAGAACTGTGTGTTTCACTGCACATCACATTTTAAGCATCAATTGTTTATTATTATTGGTGCTTAAAATAAGGTTTGTGGCTTGCAAGGTGGCAAAGTAACATTTCTTCAATGTGTGTCTAAAATTCATCATGTAGTAGGAACTTTCCTGAGGACCCACTGTAAGACAGCTACGTTAGGGAGAAGAGCATCCTGCAGCTTTCAGTCTCCCTGCTGACTCCTGCCTGTCAGTACAGAATTCGCTTGGTTTCCCTTAACTACAATTATAAACTCCCTATGGAGTCAAATTCAGGAATGGTGCTGTCACGCTGCTGCAGCCACTATGGGCTGCTCCTCTTCATGTGCCATCACCCTGAGGTGGCACAGCTGCAGAAAAAGTCATTTTCTACCCCCAGCTTTGAATGAGCCCACGTCTGTAAGACCATGAGCATTCCAGCCAAAGCCCACGCTCCAAGGAAACCCAGAGGCTATTCAGTAAAAAACCCCGGCCAATCTCCCTCCTCTTTCCTTGGACCCTGAGCCTCTCTCCATGATGGAGTACAATCATAGAATAGTTCAGGTTAGAAGGGACTGCTAAGGGTCAGCTTGTCCAGCCCTTCTGCCATGGTCAGGGACATACTCAACTGGATCAGGTTGCTCAGAGCCCTGCCCAGTATGACCTCCACTAGAGACACTACTACTCTGGGTGACATCAGCCAGCCCTCTCCAACGTGTAAGGCACACACAAATTTCCTTGAGTGAAAGGTGGGAAGGGGCTGCCACAGTTGGGGCTTGGACATACAGACAAGAGCATAAGGAGAATGATTTGGGGTCAGCACAGGGGAAGAGAAGTGGAGGTTGTGTGCTTGGCCGCACAGAGCTAAGGGTGTGTGGAAGTGACAGATGTGAGAGTCAGTATGAGCCACAGTGTCACAGGGACACCAGTACTTCTGTTGTTTTACAGTTGTTTTAACAGTATTTTGCACATTCCTCACTTCTGCATTGCAATTCCTAAAAGATTTTTCTGCTTATTCAATCCAAGGGAAAATGCTGCTAATGTTTGAGACTGACAGTAAAAGCTTTTCTTCGAGTTGTAACAGCTCACTGAAAGCCTTTCAAAATGTGCAAGTAGAAATGTCTTTTTATATGTACATGGGGGGAAATGGAAACATAGGACTACACATATTATTTTGTGTTCGTTAGCATTAGATTTTGTATGGTATTTTAGCACCTATGGTATTTTTGCCACTTAGAAATGGCTGCTCCTTGTGTTCTGCTGCCATACCTGAAGTTAATGTGTTTGGAAGAAGTTTGTTGGTCTGTGAGCTATGTTCTCTCCTGCATCAGCGTCATGGCAAAATAAGCAAAGATCTGATTTTAACAAGATGACACAAATGGTGGCCTTTGTTTGTCATTCAGAGTCTTGCAGCTAATGGTAGGGAGTGTTTGGCAGTGTGTTTTCAATCAGGGTTCAGTGTAAGTGCATCTGTTGTGGATGAGAACTGCAGGGCCCTTTGCTGGCTGAGGCACAGAGGGCAGAGTTACAGAACAGGAGGAAGCAGAGGACTTGGCAGGGGCACCACTGAGATGTTTGCTGCAGCTGAGCAATGGTATGAATGAAGAGGGCTCTGGAAATAATTGACGTAGTCTGGTTTCCAGTGCAGGGTATGAAAAGCTTTCCTGAGCGGTAATGGAAGTGTGGGCAAGAAACCAGAAAATGCCACAGGTTTATTCAGGCAAGCATGCCTTACTTTGCTGTTCAATCAGGAAATGTGTCTTTATATGTGAGACACACAGAAGAATTACTGTGAACAGTAATTTGGTACGAGCAGCTTCACTGCAAACGTTCTTATCCTGAAATACTGTAAAAATTAGTAAGAAAAACTTGTTACAAAGGCATTCACATTCACTTCTTTACATTATCCATCTTGCTAACTTAAAATGCAAGATTAAATATAATCTTCCTTGGCAAAGGAACTAGATTTTGTGTTTACAGAATAAATATTCAGGAAAAATCCTTTTTGTACACAATGCATGCTTTATGATTGCTCAATGTTGATTTATGTGCTGTTGCTGTAAATAAATCCGTGGCAAATATCCAGTAGTGTGTAACCAGGAGGGTCAGACCAATAGGAACATGAGAGACATTAATGAAAAAAAAACTGTTTCATGTTCCAACATGCAGCTTCTAAAGACTTGAAACAAAGGGCTGAGGCTGGGTCAGAATCTACAGGATAAATGGACAATATAAAGGTGATCTGACAGCAAAGTCCCTCAGTATAACACACAATCAGAAAACCAGTTTGATGCCCCAAGTCAGAAACAGGACAAACTCAAGTTTAAATTTCAGAGTGAAAGTAATTACGCATTCCTGAAAATATACTTTCTGGGCTTTAGGCTATGGTTTGTGAACATTACTTGGCAGAAGAAAAAGAATTTAAGATGACAGAGGCCCTGGTTAAGGAACACAGTGCTCAGCCTCTGTTTGTCCAACAAGGAACAACATCCCTACAAAACAATCCTGTTGCCAAAATGCTTCTTGCTACATTCTAATGTACGTAACCACAAACTTGCCGGCAGCTGGAATTGTGCAATCTTTTCAGACAGACTTAGAGAGCTCTCATCCTTCATAGATAAAACACCTTGAAAGCTGTTTATTCAAAGAATTTGTCCTACACCTGCTTTGAATAGGGTTTTTTTAAAGCATAGCCATTTCTGTATAAGCATTAACTGTATAGCTGTCTCAGTCTATGACAAAAAGCATGTTTTTACAAGATGTTACTTTAAAATGAAGAAGCAGGAGGAGCACTGGCTTACAAAAGAAAGATTTGTGTTTTTATTATTCCTTTTGGTCACTGCGGGTTACAGAATGGAATATGCAACGCGATTCTATGCTCCTGCTTGTTTTCTAGTTGGACTGCTCAGATGTGTTGGAGGAATATCTGTGCTTGGATTCAAATATTTTACTTTCCTTTATGGATTAGTGGTCCAGTATGATGAAGTGCTGTTATCTTGTGCCTCAGCTCTAGTAACAAGACTCTTGACCTGCTGGATCAGCTCCTTCCAGGTGCCCTTTGGCACAAGAACATCATTCTTCACGGAAAACAAAAATCCCAGGTTAGTGCTCTTGCATTCATTAACTTTTTGCTCTGCCAAGAAGATTTTATTTCCTTGTTTCAGCAGATATATACCATACTGGCTTTGCTACAGGATGCCTAATAATTCAGAAGACTAACTGAATACACTGGGTAAGTAATTTCTTTCTTTGCCTATTTTTATCCTAGAGGTTTTTTTAAAGCTTATTTAATTAAAGTAAGACCTTAACATCAGATCAGCCTGTTTTGTGTCTCATGTCTCATGTCATAAATTATTATAAAAGACACAGATCTATAATTCTGAATACAAGAAAAATAATTGAGTTGATTAATATTTAACAATGCATAGATTAAACTTAGAATAAAATTTGAAATTAAAAAAAACAGAAGAAACATTTGGTTGTTTAAAATTAAATAATATCTATGAATTTCAGTTAGCTACAACTCTTTTCTAGTCTAGACCTCAGAAAGACTTTCTGTTTAGCAAGTTATGCCACCAGAATAAACATCTTTATTTAATGTTAGTAGAAATTCCATTGTGGCGTTCCTAAATCAGCAAGAAGGAATTAGACTGCATTAGTTATTCATGGTTTCAGTGACATGTGGATGAAAGATTTTTCCCCCCCGCCAACTTTCCTATTGTTTTACTTCTATCACAACTTTCTTAGGAATAGAGAGCAGCAGTTGCCTGCTTCTGCCGGCTAACGACCTCAGTTAAGGCTGTTTGGGGAAACCACATTCCAGGAGAGTATGAGATCTTTCTTGAAAGCTCTCATTGATTTTAATATTCATGCTACTGTAATAAAAATAGTAGCTAAGGCAAGGCTAAACAGAGAGTAAGAGAAGAGGCTATTCATATGGGTATTAACTTACCCATCCTGGTGAAACAGAGGTGTTTATTCAGAGCAGCAGCCTAAGAGAGGCGCTGTTCTATTCCAGCAGCCTTTCTGCTAAAGGAAGCAATCATATCACCTACCTTCTGGTAAGCTGCTGGCTTCTCTTTTTAATCCTTTCCTTAGATTTGGGCTACAGTAGATTTTCTCTCAAATCTCCTCTGTGATTTGCTCTGGGGTGGGAATGCAGTGCTGGGGGTGGAGCAAGTCCGTTCTGTGGGAAAGCCAGTCTATGACCATCGTAATGCATTTGGAGCATGTGAAGCAATAATTCGTTAAATATTTTTATAAACATAGAATTTGAAAACCAAAAGGAAATATGCTTGTTTTCTATTGAGTGAAAAATGTTTGCTTCAGATGAAATCAAAGTGGAAGTGGATTTTTTGTTTCTGATGTTTGAATTTTTAGTATTGTATTTTTAGAGTATTTTATTTTATGCTGTTTCCTCATGCTGCATAATCTTGTTTTGTTTGCTTTCCTTATTGGGAAATGTCCAACAGTACAATCTGCTATGAATACTCCCTTTGAGACATGTTAATGCTCATACTCATTAGTAGTGTTTTGAAGTTTGAACTACACATTTTTGGTCATGTTGAAAACTGCTTGCTCATCTGATTTCATGTTCCAATAGCTATTAATATAAATTTCTATTTTGGGTTTTTTTTAACTTTTAGTCAATCTTCTACAGGCAGGAGGAAATTGCCTAGGATGTACTTGGAGAAAATAAGAGATTGCTCATGACTTTTACGATGGCTTTCTACATGCACATCGACTTCCAATACACATATAATTAAAACTCTCTAGATTGTAGTTTTAAATGTTATTCTTAATCTCACTAATTTTCTGACTGAAACTAGAAAATATTGGGAGTTTATCAGTTTTCTTAGCTGGTTTAACTTTGCCTGGCTCATTGGTGGCACTTTCATTATTAAGAAATTTTGTGGAGGTAGACAAAATTCACCAAAAGAAAATACCATGAAGTGAGGCGAAATTTGATATCCAGCATGTTCCAACATCTTTCATAGGAGTTGACTTTCTAAACGGGAAATTGACTAAATGGGAATTGACTTCCAAGAGAATCTGCTGAAGGCAACAGTAATTGATCTTTGAGATTTTATTTATTTACTAATATTTCTTGAATTAAAATTTGAGAATTGCAAAATACTCTAACAAATAAAGGCACCTCAGTCCCTCTGGAAGGCTATGGAGCAGTTTGTAAGACTTCACAAGTCTGCAAATTCCTATGGAAGTACATAAGCACTTCCCTGACCAAGTTTTCCTGAATCATTTGGCAAAGGTGAATTACCTCCTTAAGAAGGAAGAGATGTGAACTGAATCTCTAACCCTTTGATTCTCAGGCCATACCTATTTGTGGACTTATTTGAGGGTCTTGGTAAAAGTTTTGCTAATGCAACATCACTCATGAGATGTAGACCCCTGAAGAATGGGAAGTGTCTGAGAAAATCCTACCCTGCCAAACCAGCCCTACAATAATTTATGGAAGAACTGTCTTTGATTTCAGCTCTAGTTTTCAACTAGTATCAACTTGTCCCTTCTTCTTTCACTTTTGTGCATGATTTTGGCAGTGGTTTAAGTAACAAACAAGCTATTGAGAATTACCTGTATGTGGTCCTGTTTTCCTTAACTTCTCAGGTGTCGATCTCCAAAGTCCTTTCTGTTGCTGTTTGCACATACAGCTGTGAGATAAACATGAAGCTGCAAAGGATTTAGGGCCATTATGGCTGTCTGGGCTCTCAAGGTATTGTGTTTTCCCTGAGAGGAAAATTTCCCTCCATTTATTGAGAGAGGGCCTAAGAAAAAGGAAGACCTGAATGAAAATAGCGTTCTGAAGTTGTGTAGCAGAGCTCACTTGCTGACACAAGGCAGAGGCAAGTGTTGGCAGCTGTGTCATTCAGCCTGCTGTGGCCTCTGAGGCACATTGGCACACTGATTCCAGAAACCAAAAGCTCCTTCTGCTTGTGCCACTCTGTGGGACCAAGACAGCAAAGACCTTCCTTAGCATCAGAAAGCTTTTATGCTTTGCTCTTCAGACTTCATATTCAAGAGTTACTAAAATACCTGTACTGGTAATTTTGCTGCCATAAAGTTTTATCATCACGATACCCAACTATGTTAAAACAGAATGCAAAGAACCTCAGCTTTTTAATTACTGCATAAATTTAAATTTTCTTGTCTCCGGAAGCCACTCTGAATGGTAGAAGATTCTCTGTAAATATTTGTCATCTATTATAATACAGGATTTTACAACTGAAAATGGCTACCTCTGTAAAAAATCACCTTACAGCTCTGATGGTTGCCCAATAAACTCTCTCAGTAGTAGCTTTTGCTGTCTCTCACTTGAATTATGTGCACCCTCAAAATGTGACCTAAATGTCCAAATGATGGAGAAGAGCTATAGAAGCATTCTTAAACATGTAAGCTTCCAGTGTTGGTTCCAGAAAGGAGTCATGGTGGCATGAGGATGAAGTGATTGTGACAACAGTAGGACAGGACTATTGACCAAGTTCAGTAGGAATAAAATAGCAGAAGTTATAAATGATATAAAAAGTTATACAACAGACACTGGGTATATCCTTGAATAGTTTTCATCATTGCCTGGAATGTAAAAGCAGTATATTCTTTATACACTTGACAAAAAAATTATTCTTATGCTATTACACAGGGAGATCTGTACAGGAGACTATTTACTATATCCCACTAATTTTCTTAATAGCATGAAAACTTTGCTGAGAACAAGCATCAGTCACGACTCAGTGAATCTTGTTTATTTAAGAAAGGCATAATCCTGAATAAAGAAATCTGTAACTGCTCCAACACTGTGATGACACTGAATGAAATCAGTGGACTGTCAAAGCTGCTAGAAATTGTTGTCTTGGTGGAGAAGGACAAGCAGAAGCTATTTTAAAAAATTTGTTCAAAAATTTCTATTTCCAGGTGATATAAATTACTTAAGTGAAGTTGCACATCTTGGTTATGGAAACTGAATCTCTAACCCTTTGATTCTCAGGCCATACCTATTTGTGGACTTATTTGAGGGTCTTGATAAAAGTTTTGCTAATGCAACATGCCTCAAAGTGCTGAATTACTAACTTGTTTCTTCTAATTGTTTTTCCTTTCATAATGGTTTCATCCACAGTCACTTATTTATGGAAGAAATACTTCCCTACACAGTTCCAGTTATTCATTTTTAGAATAAAAAATAATCTTTTGGTAGCACAAGAGATAAGAGAAAAATATGTAAAACATTGTATTACTTAAGAATATAATTTCAGCTTTACCTTTGTGCTCTCATGAAAGCTGCAGATTGTAAAAGTGCTACTAGGCTTCAATAGCATTGCCAGTTTAAATGATCAAATTCCCTTTAGCTAGCAGGCCATCTGTACTAGACATCCAAGTTCAGGTTTGCTACCATGTACACAAGTTACCTGTACCTACCAATTACTTGATGTATTATTTTCTATAGGAAAATAGCTGTATCCTACTTATCTGAGACTTCATTTCAGGAGAAGTGATAGCCACTGGGTTTGATCACTTCTTGCACAGCTCCACATTAATGTCACCTGGGTAAAAACTGCATTTTAAATTCCCACACCCTTTGAGCTGTGCTGACTGAAATAGTTGTGCATTTCAGCTCACAGCCAGAGCTTGCATTTAAAAAGCTGAAAAAAAAATTTTGACAAATCGTACATCAAGCATAGGAAGCATGCAATCCTTTTAAACCAGCTATGCTATAAAACGAGTATTATGCCCAGATTTTTAGCATGCTACTATCATGATGAACTCTCCAAACAGCTGCCATCATGGGAGGGGTTTCTGCTGATATTTCACATAGCCATCGAGAAAGAAATGGAGGCTGGAAGGTCTGGAAGTATTGGCCTCTATTTTGGGGTGGGGAGGGTAACTTTTTCCTCCTTTCTGTTACACAGAAGGAAACAGGTAAGGCTCATCAGGAATTTAAAGGAAGATATATGAATGGTGTATTGGATGCATGAAATTTTTCCCTGCAAAACAGGGTGATGGTTTTTATTCATAGAGGAATGATGTGAGAAGTAACAGGGGTCACTTGTGTGTGTGAGGAGGAGGTCAGGAAAAGAAAAAGGTAGACTGCAGTCATGCTTGCACACTTTTGACAAGTGTTAATATTTAACTTTATTCCAGTGTTCCCACAGTGTTCCTGTGGTTAGGGAAAGTGCCATTGGGATGAGAAAAGCATGTAATCTTTAATGAGATTTGGCATCTTTTAATTTTTAGTACTCATCAGGCCTCATTTGCTATTTGATAAATTAGGAAAGTGAGTTACATCAAAAAAGCTGGTAAGGAATACATAGAATTATATTATATTCTGGGTTGCTAAAACAGTCATACTTTACAAAGGAAAGCAAACCTTTCAGGAACTTTGGGGAGGGCAGATTGTTTTAAACTGGCCATTGACCCATATTTTGACAACATAAATTGATGAACCATGTGCAGTGGGTAAATGTAGTGTATAAACATTTGTAATCAAATTGGTTTTGTTTTGCCAGTGTTGCATGGATGAGCTTGTTTCTACTTAGGGAACTTGGATCTAAGTCATAGGATTTTGAGGAAATTATCTTTAGGAGTGCTTTAGAGTGTGTCTGGAGGGGAGAAGGGAAGGAGAAACAAATATCTTTTGAGACAGACACCAAAAATTAGCCATTGGTCTAAGCACCCTTATACATCAGCAGGACCCAAGAACTGAGACAGTCACTGCAGTCCAGGGTTCCTCATCCCCAGGGACCTCAGCCCCAGAGCAGTGCACGTGTGCACAAGGCAGAGGGATCCATGGAGCTGTGCAGCCAGCTCCCAGCACACTTGGGTCTTGTCCTGCAAGCTCCAGAGGGAGATGCTTTTACAGGATGTTTTGTTGTACTCTCTTAAACAGAAGCATTCCAGGGACAGAGTGTTCCAGACTCAATCCCTGTGAATGTTGGTGGCTTCTCCTGAGTTAAGTGAGGTTAATAGCTAACCAAGCTGCATTATTCACTGCAGCAGCAAAAAGAAAAAGTTTTTTTTTTACCCTCATATTAACATTTATCTTGTGATGTTAGAGGTTGTGAGGCTCTTTTTCTGTCTTTGCTCTGGTGTTTCCCAGAAGAACAGTTTTCAAGTGAATGTCATTTGATGAAACAAATAATAATGAAATTAAAATTCTTTCTGAGATAAGAATAAATTTTAGGAAGAGGTATTCTTGTAGAAGATACAGATAGCTGTATTAGAATATGTTTCCAGGGATACAGTGTCTCCTTCTTCCTTAAAATATTTTCAATAACATATCGTAGAATTACAATTCAAAATAAATAATAATAGTGAACTGAGAGTTAACAAAACCTTTGGAATCTATAACTAAAGACAGTGGCCTCATATTTATGCACTGAAAAGGTATGCAACTGTGAAAGTTAATAAAATTCACTAGTGTGCTGCTCGGGAACAGAATTTTGCAAGATAAAATCAGGCAAAATAGTTGTTCTTTGTATCATTTGTGCCTTGCATGTTAATTATCTTTTCCATATGTCTGATGCCACATGCATTACAAAAGATGTTCTCTCCTCTTGTTTTCAGGTAATGTGATTTGAAGATGCCAACCCCTTGGCAAATATGCTGCAATAAAAAGTCCAGAACTGAGAATGCAAAAGCTGAAATGGACACTATGGCAGAGACAAGTGAAAAAATGCAGATGAAAAAAGAAATCACATTACTAAATGGAGTTTCTTTAATTGTAGGGAACATGATTGGCTCTGGTATATTTGTATCACCCCGAGGTGTTTTAATGTATAGTGCTTCCTATGGACTCTCGCTGGTTATCTGGGCACTTGGTGGGATTTTTTCCCTGTTTGGAGCTTTGTGCTACGTTGAACTGGGAACATCCATCATGAAATCTGGAGGCAGTTATGCCTATATTCTGGAGGCATTTGGGGCCTTTGTGGCCTTCATCAGACTCTGGTCTTCCTTGCTAATTATTGAACCAACAACTCAGGCCGTGATAGCAATCACATTTGCTAACTATATTGTTCAGCCAATTTTTCCCCACTGTGAGCCACCGTATGATGCAGTCAGGTTGATTGCAGCTGCGTGTATATGTAAGTAGTGATTGCCAGAAGTTAAGAACTGTAATTGTACGTGGCCAGAAAAGGTTTTTCTAAATTTCTATTTCTTTGCATTCTGTGAAAATAATTATTACCTATCTAAAATATGTCCTTAGGAACTAATAATCTTTTATTCAGATGTATTGTGTTTGGGGCTGGTATTGCTATAGGGGAGAGGAGAATTACAGTTTGGCAGAGGGAAATTGTGACTGCTGATTAAAAATACATGTGTGTCTATGTTTCACTGGCCTAACTGGCTGTTAGGACACTGTCACATGCACAGATTCATTTATGAAAATGAAGGCAAGAGGTTGTTTGAGCATGTATGGTTGCATGCTAGTGCCCTTACTGTATAGAATGATTTCTAAACTATTTTTGTTTTGAGCATTACAAAACCATTTTTCTTCCTTTCAGAACTGAAGTTTAGATTATAGGAAACAGAAGCAAGGCCCAATAAGGCTTCTAGATAAGAAACAGCCCACTTTGAGCCATGCTTGAGAGCACTCTGGGTGACCATGTCACATTTGCGCTTCAGCAGCTGGGCTTCGTGCCGGGTACCAATGCACACCATGTCCTTTCCTTTCCTCATCTGTCTCTGTTTTGAATCATGGGATTGCAAGGCGGAGAAGCTGCCTGTGTTCCCCTCTGTGTGCTAGAGTGAGAGCAGATTGGCACATGGCTCAGCCCCTGGCTGGACCTGCTGCCAGCCGAGGGACAAACCTGACTACAGAGAATATGGCAAGAGGAGGAAAGGAAAACTGTTTGATCCCACCCACTCTGCAACCAAATAGTTTGGTATTTTTTGTTAGAGTCTGTCAAAATGGGACTTGAGAGGACTCTGTAAGTGTGTGCTATGCAATCTTCAGACTCAGGGCCAAATTGTGAATGACACAACTTCTAAGCCATAAACAAGCCTGGCTTAATTCAGTATCTTCTCATAGCATGCAAACTGGTTTTGTGGATTTGTCCTTATTCTGTACCAAAACTAGAGCTTGACTCAGCATGAAGAAATTTTTGATATACAGCATATAAAGAACTACTATCATTTGCGTAGAAACAGCTCTTGTTGAGTTTAATAAAATTTAAATATTATTTAAAAGGAGAAGGAGTTAGTCCTAAAGTTCAAACATTGATATGTTTTTACGGTTCTTACGTACTGTCATGAAAGCAGTATTTTTCAGAAAACCGTTGTGTAAATTTTAAACCAGGTATTTCATTTTAAAAAATCTGGGTGGTCCTGAAGTGGTGAAATTTGATTCAGTTTTACTTCTTGAAAGAGTAGTGGTATCTGGATAGATGGGTTTTAAATATTACTTAAATGATGTTAAACATCCAGTGCTCCTTTCATGCATATTCTTTTTCTCTGCAGGTTCCTTAACATTTATTAACTGTGTTAATGTAAAATGGGGTACCCGTGTACAAGACGTTTTCACATATGCAAAAGTCATGGCTCTTATCTTGGTGATATCTGTCGGCCTTTACAAAATTGGCAAAGGTAAGAATCATTTTCATTTACCTAAATTCTATGAAATTAATCATATATGATAATTTCAAAATCCATGTAGGGAGATCTATAAGACTTACATATGAAGTGTTGTTTATTCTGGAGAAGAAAAAAAAAAATCTGCCATAGGAAGATCAGATGTATTTTATGGCTTGTTAAGCAATAGGGGATTAATTATTCAGGCCAAGTCCTGTGCTGCTTGGTCTGAATAGGAAATAGCAGCTGAATTAACATCACTTTACTGCTGACTAGTTACTAAAGTCAGCCTCAGTGTCTGACTCATGCATTACTACCTGTCCCATAACAGGACAGGGAAACAGAAATTGCATTACTCCTTACAGTTCCCCCCACCTCACCCCACCAGCACCACCCCCCAGCCAAAGAGCCCTGCCCAGAAGAGGACCAGAGTGGGTAAATCACAGCTGGGATTTGTGGGAAGGCATGTTTGTTCCTAGAAACAAAGCAGACTGTAACTGCAGTTCGTGAATCACTGTGGTGTGGTGTTGCTGTAAGGCAATCAGAGGGCAGATGAGCCACCTCCTATCAGCAATAACTGGACTGAACAGGACACACTGAAAAGCTGGAGAGCAGTTTAGTCTGGTGCTACCTCAGAGCTTTCCATATGGCAATAGATTTGATTTTATTAATTTGGGCCTCTGGCACAGTGAATTCTCTTCTAGTTCTACCTCTGCTGCCTCGATAACTAAGGTTTTTACATTTTCATTTCCTTTGAAAGTCCTAAATGTCATAGCCATTTCACCTTTATTCAATTGAAATAAAGGTGGTTTCCCCCTCTTCAGTTTAGGAATTATCTTTTTCTCCTGCTAAATTAGCTTATAAAACCTAACAAGCATGCTTTCTTTTCCATGTTTGCTGGCCTCCTCCTTTCCTTGGCTGCAGTTGCATCAGCTGTTACACTGTAAAGCTACATTAGACTTTAGGAAAGCTTTCTTGTCTGTCTAAGCCATTACCTCTGCATGTCAGCTGTCAGCAGTTGGTTGAAGTCTGAAGACACTTGGACAGCTAAACCCAGCCCTAAGGGCAGAGACATGAAGATTCAGAGAAGAAGCATTGCTTAAGGGTCACACTTGCATGAAGGAGTAGTTCCCCTCATAAAATTGCTGCAGTTTTGCAAAAGTGTGATTCTGTGATGTCACCTTTGTAGCAGCACTGCCCCTGCTTTCAAGCTGCCTCCCTCAAAACTGCCTCCCCTCCTGCTCACCAGTGTGCTGTTGGATCCAGGGGCTGCTCCCTCTGCTCCCACATACTGCCCATTCTGTTCCTTCTGCATTGCTCTGTGGGCTCAGGGAGGGTTGAACCGTAGAGGAAACATTATGGTGAGGCACACGAAATGCTGAGAGCTTTTACTGGCAGTAAAGGTCTCATCTCAGCTTTGTTTAAGCAGAACTGAGCACTTAAATACAGGAAAGACTGGGAGGAGGAACGATGTAGATTTCTGGAGGAAGCTGTGATCAGGTCAATGACCGTTTTAAAGTCAGCAGCTATTTTAATGAAAAGAACAGTTATGATGTTTTAGCCCTGCCATATTCTTTCTGATGTGCTTGGATGCATTGCTTGTGTTAAAAGACTGTAAATATATCTGATTTTGAGTATGAGACCTATAGCAAAAAAAAACCCCAAAAAACTTTTCTTGAACATTTTGGGTTTTTTTTTTTTCTTTCACCTTCCAACTATTTGCTCCTCCAGAGTATGTGTACATCTCATAGCTTCTCTTCTTTGGTTTAAACAGTCTCCTGCTCTTCGATGACTGAAATGCTTTTGTAGTATCACGCCTTAGTTGAATAAGTGCTTTCATTTTACAAAAAAAGACATTAATTTCTTTCCTAATTGAGGTTTCAGCATGTTTCTATCTTCTCTTAATACTTAACCCACTTCCATTTTCACTAAATTGTAGACTTTCCTTCTGCAATCTCAGTAAGCCCTTTCTTCCCCTTTCCAGGATGGCAGTGAAGGCTTATGCAGTTTCACTAACATTTTGCCTATTTTGCAGCCTTCTGCAGGCTGTCATCTCAACCAATGGAACTAAACTAAAGCCAGATTTTGAAAGGAAAGATTTTTAATCTCACCTCTTAGTTTTGGGGAACACTCTTGTGGGTCAGAGCATCCCATGAAAACCATGCCTAAAGGAGGTCCCCCCTCTAGTGGCCACTAATTCGTCTGGTGAAATAAAAGCACAGCTATTAGGAAGAACTATGAGACAGATTCAGGAACTGGAAGTGGCTTTGCCAAATACCTCATCCTGGCTGACAGGGTACTGCATGCCCTTGGTATGGCACCCTCCTTCGGTAGGGCAAGCAGTAATATCAGAAGAGGACTCTGAATTCTGGTGGAATTACCAAAAGTCACATCCAAATAACAAACATGAAAATGTTCTGTTTTCTCCCTGTACAAGTGTAGCTGTCTGAACATCTGGCTGAAACTCTCTTGTTTGTTAATTAAAAATGTAAGTTGTGTAGTTTTAGATACAGTAATGAAACCTGGATGCAGTGGGGTGTTATTTCCTTTTGGCTAGCTGACACTTCAGGTGTAGCACCCTTCTAAGTTGCAGTCCTTGAAATGTAACAGCTGATTGGCACCTGCCATTTGTACAGGGGAAATCGAAAACCTGAGAGCTCCGTTTGAGGGCTCAGCAACAAGCCCAGGGATGATCGCCCTGGCTCTCTACTCTGCCCTCTTCTCCTACTCAGGATGGGACACGCTCAACTATGTCACCGAGGAAATGCAGAATCCTGAGAGGTAAACACAGGCTTTTCCTTTGAACAACTGACAGCTGATGGCAGGACAAGCCACTCTGTTTCTGATTAGTCAAATTATTTTCCTTTCTCTTCAAATGAAGGAGTAAGTAGGAGAACTCTTTCTGATTATTGTGCTCATTTATCACTTGTATCACACTAATGAATCTTTTATCTGTATATATGTATTTTACATCTTACACTTCAGACTACAGATTTTAAAGAAGGAGAACAAATCCCTGCTGAAAGCAAGGAAAAGCAAAGGTGCATCTAGCCCTCTAAAATTTCTTGTGTCTTTTCAGATGGAATATTTAGGCACAATATTTTTCCAAGACATTTTTTTGCCACCAGTAGAGTAAGACAGTGTCAGATTTATGGCTTTTATGATGTGATCTTCAGCATTATTGTTTATGGGCAAATACTATCTCCTTCCTTCTGTAGGGATGTCAGCCCTGTGGGTTCAAAATGATGGAGGTATCCATTCTGGGAACAATCTTCTATTTAAGTATTTCTCATTTAAATAACATGGAATAATTTTTTCCATTTTCCTTTTGCAGGAACCTACCTCTTTCTATTGCAATTTCAATGCCTCTTGTGACTATTATTTACTTATTGACTAATATAGCATACTATGTAGTGTTGGACATGTCAGCTCTCCTCACAAGTGATGCGGTGGCTGTGGTAAGTTGTGGAACATAACCCAAACAAAAGACTTTACAGGAAAATTTCAGGTAGCATGCTTGGCAAACAGTTGAAATACTTTCATGCTGAAGGCTGCTTAAAACATTTTTTCATGTAACACTACATTAGAAGGTGCACATCAAGAACATATCCAATAAAAGTGCTCTTGAAAAATTGTATTTCATACTCTGTAAATCCTGCTCTTTACACTACATAATAGGAAAGATGCTTTTGCCAGGATCAAAGAGCTATAGAAAGTCTGGGTGGCTGAAGAACCAGGGTTTTTGTTGTCATTCTAATGTACAGTATGTAATGTTTAACACTGCACAACCACAGCAATATTTTTTAGTGCAGAAGTGTACACTTAAATATTTTTTAAAACCTTATCAGTATTTTATACAGAAATAAAATGATAACTCATGAATTACTACAATTGGGATTTGTCAGAATACTTTAAAGTCAATACATCATCTTCTTTTCCATCATTTAATTAATCTAGGGTTGGATATTTTTTAAAAATCTTTTTTAATGTATCTGCCAATTTTATTTTTATGCTGATCAGTTTTTCCAAATTCTAGTTTTCTAAGTCACTATGGTATGTCATAGAAAAGCATGGCTATGACACTACCTTTGGGATGATGTGTTTTCATGAGAGTTTCTCAGAATTATCCATATGCCTAACATAGAGGGCCTCACCATTATTTTTTTTCTGTTACAGACATTTGGAGGTGAAACCCTTAGTCATGCCAAGTGGATAATTCCTATAGCAGTGGCCATGTCTTGCTATAGTGGCTTAAACTCATCAATTATTGCAGCATCTCGGTATGAAATAAAAGATTTATTTTAAATAATTGAAAAGGAATCATTAATCTGCATTCTTTACTACTCCTTGGTAATTTTTGCTATGTCAAGTCATACATTTGTGATGGAGGTATTGTTGCAATCAGATGTCTTCTCATGATCAGCACTATTTGATAAACTAAAGCCACTTGAGAAGAGAGCAGCACTTAGAAGAGAGTAACAAAAGAATTATTTCTTGCTTTGTCAGGAAGCAAAAAGCTATTTCTATGGTTGAGTTTCCTTAGTCTTTTTTTAGGCTTTTCTATGCTGGAGCCAGAGAAGGACACCTCCCTGTCAGTCTGAGCTTGATTCACATAAAGTGCTTCACACCAGTCCCTGCTCTTCTGTTCAATGTAAGTGACACCCCAGCCTCGTGCCTGGCTGGGGCAGTTGGGGTTTGGACCACAGGTAAAATATCTCTGCTCTGCCTTGGACTTCTCACAGACTTCTCCTGCCCTGGAGACATCTTCTGCATATGCCCACAATTTCTAAAACTCATTGAGGGGGTGGGAGTGGTGTTATTTTGTCTGATACAGGGTTTTTTTTCAGTGGAGAGAGAATGGCTTGATTCATGTTCATATGATCTTCAAACAATATTAGTGAGAAGTACAAAAGTACTGCTGAGAAAAAAGTGAATGGCTAAAGATGTAATGGTATAGACAAGAGCTGTTTAAGTGTCACTGGAGACAAATATGTCGGGAACATCTCTTTGACCCTGCTGTAGGCTGATGTTCTACAATTGTAGTTATAACAGGAGAGACAAAGCTTTTAAAATTAAATTTCTACCACTGGATGCCTATAGCCCTGTTGACGTTTTTTCTGCTGTCACTATACAAATGAGCTCTTGTGACACAAAATTGTGGAACCATAAGTTATAGAATTACAGGAAATTATTTTCATAAATAATACATGTATTCAAGTGTGCATTTTATTTGGTGTCTGCCATTGATCTCTGTTACATATCTTTTATGATTAGATTATCATACTCATCCTATTTGACATCAAATAATTTACTAAAAATTATAATCTCATTAACCGAGACTCTTCTCATAGGGACTGTTTGCACTAGCCAAGTTGATTTATATTCTCTTAATATACCACCATTCACATTTTTCATGTGCAAAGTGGAAGTTTTTTCTGCTCATCTGTTAAAATAGTCATTGAATTCCTGGTGGTTTAGGTCTTTCCATGCAGGCAGTACAGCACACCTGCGGGGCACAGAATTGACTTTAATGGTCTCAATTTATGAGTGGACTGATATCCTAAGCTCATACAAAGAGATTGGAAACAGGCCAGTTTATAATTTTCCTAGGTCTTTATTTTCACATTAAAAAGTCTTTGTTTTTATTATCCCTAGGGCTTAATGACTTTGCTTTATCTCCTTGTGGAAGATGTTTTCCTCCTTATTAATTACTACTGCTTCAACTACTGGCTCTTTGTGGGTCTATCTATTGCAGGACTAATATATCTGAGATATACTCAGCCACATAGACCACGGCCTGTTAAAGTAAGTAAAAAAGACGGGAAGAAAACTCTAAAAGCCAGATAATGCATGCGTTTATAGATGTATAATATCACAGCCATAACAGTAGCAGTTATTATTATAGATTATTTATTAGCCATAGAAATTCTTTCAAAATACAAGATGAAGGAGTAATACCCATTAGAGTCCAGAAGAACTGGTAGTTTTGCTGTGAGATTGAAAAGATATATACCATTTATTCTTCTTTCATTCAGATTTATAATATTTTTTTGCTTCAAAACAAATGAGGAATAAATAAATGTCTGAGGTTTATAGCCCATCCTGGAAGAATAGCAGACCTCAGCAGAGCTGGTGATGGAGGCTCCATAGAGGTTAACACTCTGATCAAACCAATGTGATTTAACAAAAACAGTAAAATCCCTCCAAAGACCATAAATGTCCACACTTCTGCCAACACAGAAATTAGCTTAAATAATCACATATATTCTGAATGTTCCCTCCCACTGGGTAGTGGTCATAGACCGTAAAATGCAAGTTTAATTAATGACTTAGGAGAGCATTTGAATATCAGTTAGACAAGGGAGGCTGCACAGAAACAAAGTGTGCCTAAAACCTGTTTCTACTTTTAATCCAGTGATTGTCCAGGAAGCAAGGATGGAAACACACAGCAGGCACACAAAACCATGCACTGGCTCTTGTTTGTTGGCTTGCTGACCTGCATTTTGGCTCTGCAGTGATGCAGTAAAAATCAAGAGAATTACAAATTAACACCCCCCAAATATTTCTTCTTTGTCAATCTCTCTTCCTAAACTCCTGCATCATTTTTACAAACACGTTTCCTTTCCATTTGTGTAACATCCTGATTAATTTTTTAAAAGTTCAAACAAAGGCATAAAATATCCTAAGCACCTCCTGCTAAAAATCTTCACAATTTTCCACAGCAGACAAAATTTTCCTGAAGCATGTTCACACTCAATTTCCAATTTTTCCCACAAAATATGTGGAAGATAAAGCCTTATTGGCAATTTTGCCTCTGACTCTACTAAGGATTACAGTCAGATTTTACACAAAATTGCTGTTTAATTCCTGTCAGCATTTGCCAGCTTAGTCAACACCACAATTCCACCTTTACAATTTCCTTTTCTGAAATGTAGCACTTGGTTTTCACCAACTTACATTTTTAACATTTATAAGGAAAAGAAAGTATTTATACCAGTAAACTCTCACCAATTTTAGCTGGCATTCAAATGTCAACTCCTGGACCTTTAAAAGGCTCACTACAAGAGGCAGTAAAAAAATTAAAGAAAAATAAATTTATAAAGAGGTTTTTGAAACTTTCATAGAATCATAGAACCATAAAATGTCAAGGTTTTGAAGGGACTAACCATCCCTGCCACAGGTAGGGACAATTTCCACCTGACCAGGTTGCTCAAGGATTTATTCAACCTAGCCTTGAACTACTGCCAGAGTTAGGGTATCCACAACCTCCCTGGGTAACCTGTTCCAGTGTCTCACCACTTTCACAGTAGAGAATTTCTTCCTAATACCTAACCTAAATTTCTCCTCTTTCAGTTTTTACTATTATTCCTTATCCTATCACTACAGTTCCTGGTGAAGCATCCCTCTCCAGCTTCCCTGTAGGTCCCCTTAAGACACTGGAAGGTTGCTGCAAGGTGTCCATGAAACCTTTTCTTCTCTTGGTTGAACAGCCCCAACTTTCTCAGCCTGCTGTCATAGGGAAGGTGCTCCTGTCTTCTTATCATCTTCATGGCCCATCTTTCCTTATTTATGATATATTTGTTAAGTGCCCACAAAAATGTTTGTAAAGTCCATTAGTTCTACAACATCAAGATGGTAATTGACAGTCTAGTGAGGTAGTTCCCAATCAAAACTACACATAACTATTCAGAACTGAATTTGGAGAGAAAGTACATTACTTAAAGTACTTCTTTCAAATGCTGATCTTTTACTAATTGTAAAGGAACTGAGTTTATGCAGACCTGAAAATAATAAAATAGTCAGATGCTCAGATGTGCACCAAATAAGAGGCTCTCAGCAGTGTACACAGAAGCTAATAAATTATGCTGACTGTAAGCAGCCAAAAAGATTCGGTACATACTTTTGTTATTGACATGTCTAACTTTAATCTGTAAAGCCTGAATTTTTACAATAGTGTTTGTTGCATCTTTTAACAAATGCTGTATTCTTTTTTTTCTCTTCACAGCTTAGCCTCTTCTTCCCTATAGTATATTGTTTATGTTCCCTATTCCTGATTATAGTGCCTCTCTACAGTGACACAATCAATTCCCTTATTGGCGTTGGTATTGCCCTCTCAGGCATCCCTGCATATTATTTGGGAGTCTATCTGCCAGTTGAAAAACGACCTAAATGTCTACTTTGGCTCTCTGGTAAGCAACATCATATCCCAGTCACCATATCAAAACCTTGGTCAGAAGAAGGAAAGAGTATTTTTTCCAAAAATCCTTTTTTTTATGAAGGTTTGCTATGCTTTGGTATGTGGCATGTCTGAGATCATCTGCTTTATCACATGGTCCTGAAAACAAAACTGTGCTTACCTGTACAAAACATTCCAATATGTGGGTGCCATAACTATGCTGACTCTATAAAAGCCATGTAGGATTGTGAATACTAAAACTAATCTTTTTAATACCCTGGAAGGCAGAAATACCAGAACATCTTTGCTTCACTTTCCATCCAAGGAATGGAACAATCCAAATCAGAGGCATGCACAGATTTTCAGAAACAAGGAAATAATTAGTCATTGGTTTGAAGGGTAGTTGCCAGTCCTCAAATTCAGGCAGTCTTGAAAAGCAAATCTTTAATATTTTTATTTATTATACTTTAAAGTCAGCTATCAATTCAATGAAAATGTTGATGAAAATCTGATTAAACAAGAATTTCAGCTTAATTATTGGCTTCTTTTGCCTTTAGCTATTTATACCTTATGCTTAATTTTATTGATTAAGGTGTTTCAAGATTTTCCTAATATCTGTGTAGTGTTTTCAAATCCTCAAAATCCAGATGTATGTCTAAGATATATTTAAATTTCTGTCACACATTTTTGCCGGTACAGCTACAACGACGAAGTATGTTCAGATGCTCTTCTACTGTGCTCTGTCAGACCTGGACATGGACGTGGAACCCAAAGCAGCTAAGAGTAAATAGAGTTGCCTCAACACTGAGAATTGTGCCTTGACATCTCCTGTCTGGATCAATCTTTATCATCTGAATTTCTCCCCATATTTTCAGTCATACTAGAGCACTAACCACTGTACTGTGCATGAGTTTGATGTCAGTTAAATTGTGATGGTTTTATAAAACACTCTGTTTTCCAGGATTTCTTTTTAAAATTCTGTTTGTTAATACTGACTTATCACATAACATGTTGAACTATAAAACGCTTGGTTGAATAGGATGAAGGTTTGACAAGAAAGTTTCACAGATATTTATGCTTGTCAGCTCTTTGAATGTAGAATCTGAGAACAAAGTAGAGATGGAGGCAGGTTTTGATATAGAAGAACAATAGATGTCTAAATTGACAATTGCTGAGCCAGTCATTACTGGACAGCTAAGAAAGCAAAAGTTAAGTCGAGCTGGAAGGGGGTTTTATGACTAGAGCAAAATATATGTTGACCACAAACAAAAATATGTTTATACCAAGTAGAAATAGGTCTTTGGAAAAGTGGGAAGACACCATAGGCAAACAAGCAAGCCAATGTGGCAAGCAGAAAAAAGGTCTAAGAATTCTCTGTTACAAGAAAAACTGAAAAACAATTTTTAGCTTAAACTTTAACATACTTACTCACATAATTGGATAGTAATAACCATAATATGGTAATGATAGTAGTTATCATAGGCTATAGGTAAAAGTAAAGGTATAGATTGGTTCTTATGTATTACGATGCTCAGCAAAGAAAATTATATAATGCGTTGTTACCAAAACTAAAGGGTCTTCAGGCTTGTCTGCAGCTAGAGCTGACAGCTGAAGCTGAAGCTGCAGGCTCTGTCACCCATGACCCTGGTCTGTTGTAACATCTTGGATGCAATAAACTGCATTTTGAAGAACCACCTGAAGTCCCACATCTCTCCTCTCAGGCTCTTGCTAGCCACACCTGCTAGAGGGAGGGAGGGAGGGCAAAAAGAGTTTACACTTGGTGCTTGGTGATGTTTGAGAACATTCTACCTACATGCCGAGACCAGATGGGGGGAAAAAAAAGAAAAAGGAAAAGTTACTTACTGATTTAAAACTAAAAAATCCTTCCTCTATGTAGAAGTGCAGAGTCATTTAGAAACAGAAGAAAGGCAAATTTGATAGTAATAGTCATAAGTTAAAGGGCAAGCTGCTGAACCAGATGCCTGATGTGCAAAAGAATTTCAGAACTATTGCAATGCACAATGTGTGTTCAGGTCAAAACACAGTCTTCATGGTGATATTACCTTATTTCTGATTAGACCTTCCTCTTGCCCATATTGTGCCATCATATGAGGAATCCTGCAAATTACATCCATCTTTCTCTTGCTATCTTAGGACTTAGGTCCTGTCTGTCTATGAGACTGGATGATCATGGAAGCAGAATTTAAATTGCCAGTGGAGTCACATTTGACTCCACAAGAGGGAGAACTCCTCTGCCTGATGCTCTCAGGAAAAAGAGCCTGCTGCTTTTAGACCTGCTCGGAGCAGTAGAACCAGAGTGATGTGTTTATTCCTGCCCCCAGCAAAAGTCTTGAGATGTACAGGCTTAACTTCAGAGTACAGTGTCAGCTACATATTCTGAATAATATGTATGTACAACAACCTGCTGCAAGTCCAATGAAGATGAGGTTAAAGTTCAAACATTCCTCTTTCTTTATAGGATTGCCTTGGTGTCTTTAGCAGCAGACAGACTTTTTTCATTCTAGATGTTTTCAATATGTAACAGCATGAATGCAAAGGATCAAGGACATCTTTTTCAGAATTTCCCATTAACTATAAATAATAAATGAGCTAATCATAGTTAATAGATAATAAAATAGCTATTTATGGAAATGAAAAAAATTGTTCTGCTTGAATGTCTGAGTAGTTTTCCATCCTTATTCTCCCTTTTTTTTCTTCTCTATCTTTTTGTCAGATAAAACTTGAGAAATACCCAAGTCTCTGTGCTATTTGGTAGTGAAGGACTATTTATAAAGACACTCTTGGGAAAACACAATGTTGATATCCGATGCCTGTTGACCTGCTGCCAATATGATGTCAGTACCTGGACAGCTTTGTTCTATAGTTGTTATTTTTCCATATCACTCTGTTGAATTCACTTCCACTTTAACTGCCTTCTAGAGCAATCCCCTAGCTCTGCTCACATAGTGGAATACCAAGCCATCCTTACCTTCCATCTCAGTTTATGATATCCATCTGCTGCCAGTAATTCTCTCAATACATGAAGGTACTCTTAGTCAGCTCCTCCTGGTAATATCTGCAAAAAACAATAGGCACAAAGTGGGCAAGATAGATGTAAGAGGTAGGCAGCAAAAAGTAGCAGAAGGGGAAGGGTATGCAGATTTCATATTATTTTCTTCATTTTGCTTACTCTACTCTCAGGCAGTACCTGCATTAGTTGTACTGCTTGCTACAAATCCAGATGGTAAAGAGATGGAAAGAGTACGGGGATGCTTCCCAGTTTTGTATGGGCAAGGTCAGGAAGGCCAAGATGAGCTGAAGCTGAACTTGGCAAAAGATGCAAAGGGAAATAAAAGGGTTGCTGCAGGTATGTCTACCAGAAAAGGTAGCTCAAAGAAAGTCCCATTCTGGAAACATTCAAGAGCAGCTTGCATGGGGCTCTGAGCAACCTGATCCAGTTGAAGATCTCTCTAACCATGGCAGGGTGGTAGGACTCTTAAAAGTTCCTTTCCAACCCAAATTATTTTATGATTCTATGAGTCTTGAGTCTATGATTCTTCATTATGGCTAAATGGCTGAGTGGAGCAGAGGGCATGCTGAGTTCCTGCACCGTAATTTTTTTGTCCTGTTGATATCCATGGCAATAAAATATTAAGTTCCAGGTTAGAGAAAGGATGGGGACTGACAGCTCAGCCTCCTGTGTGACTGGGAAGATGTATCAGCACAGCCCAGGTTGGCATAGTGCAGTCTCCTGAATACAGCACAGGCAATCAATTTCTGCTAATGGTTCAAAGCAGGGTGCATTTGCAAAATCAGTTCCCTGGAAACAAGACGTGGGGCAAAAGATTTTGACAGTGAATCATCTTCATGCATTCTACACCCTGGGCACAAGCCATGCTGGTTTTCAGCTGCTCTGTGTCTCTACCACATTGCTTGGTAGAACAAAATGGGCTGTAACACAAACATGGGCACTAGGAAATAATCAGCCAGGAATGATTTCTGTGTGAAGTAGAGTCACAATATATATTTCTCACCCTTAAGTGCACTCTAGGACACTGTCAGAGAAATGCTGTGCTCTGGGTGAGCACAGGCATCAGAGCAGTCCTGTGGTGCCAGGGAGATCTGTGGATAAATGACAGTGGCTTGAGCAGAGCTGAAGAAGACAGGCAGGTGTTCAGAGCAATAGCATCGCTGAGGACATGAAGAGGGGTACAAGTAGCTTTCTGCACAAAGAGAACAGACACTCAGCATCCTTCAGCCAGAACAGGAATACTCACACTCTGACATCTACCAGGATATAAATAATCCTAATGAAGTGGCTGCTTCATTGATAGACTGGAGGCTGTCAGCCTTTAAGTGGTGTGAGCTATGTGCTTCTGCTGAGAGCCAGCATGGCTGGGCAGTGCCTGTGGGGAGCAAGGAATGACAGCAGCTAGTATTCAGGCTCTCAAATTAATTAACATTAAAAAATCCCTGTGATCTAATAGAGCAGTGCTGAATTCTTTTCTGTCAGGTCTTTTAGTTTCTCTGTTTATTCTTTAGTTGCATTTCTAATCTTGCACTGCAATAATGAGGCACGGAAAGGGCATTTGTTCAGATAAGTTTGTTCTTTTATTAGTTACTTTTTGGTTTTAAAAGGAGAAAATACTATAGAATCAAAAGATGCAAGTTGGGTTTAACCACAAATACAGAACAGTTAAAAGCAGAAATGCAATTAACAATTGCAGAATGCAGAGAGCTGATATGGAACAAGGGAAAAAATCAGCAATTGGTGTGGAAGGACATCAACCAAGAGTTTACTTCTTTTTATTTTCTTTCCCTTTCTTTTCCCCTACTCTTCCTTTTCTTACTGTTTCACTGCCGTAACTAGAATTCACATGAGAGTGATTTTACTTTGTTCAGAAGTATTAAGGACAGTGATTTCTTCTCATTGCCTCATTTTTCCCCTCCTCCCCTTCAAGATTTGCTTTAATGACTTGTCCTAGTTAAGTTTAAAGAGATTTTTTATGTTCCCAGATATTCCATAGTATGATCACTTAACCTGTAAATTATAATTGCAGATTTGGTACCCATGCAGACTGATTATTATAGTTGGTACCTGCTACCTCCCTTTTAGCTTTCATTATATCTTTGCACTCAAGGAAGCTAAGACAGTTACATTTTAGGAATAAACAGGATACAAAAAATAATATGTTTATCTTTCAGGTGCTTATTGCTTTCATATAATATTGTTAACTATTAAAAGAGAATCTGCTGAGTACTATCTGGGTATGGTAAGAATTAGACCACAGTTTGAGATTTTAAAAAATACTTCTGTGCACATTTGTAATGGACCAAAACTCAAACCAGTGTTTGTGAGGTCAAAAGGAGATATGTTAACTGAAAACTTGACCAGATATACTTTCAAAAGCAGCTCTGCCTTGCTGTTGCATTGATAAATCTAGTGCTTCTCACTGAAAAGATCAGTCATGGGTGGTACAGGCCTTCTTTCAGTAACTTAGCTTCCTTGAAATCTTCCATATAATGAAGAAAACTGTATGACATCTGAGTTAAAGATTTTGTAGGCATGCCCTACAAAGCAGAAAAAAATCAAAACAAATTAATCTGAATTTAGTCTAGCAAGGAAAGGATGAGAAGAAAAGTGAAAGAAGGCTCTGAAAGAGTCAAAATATGCTGGTTGACAAACACCATTAAATTGCTGCTCCTTTTCATAAAAATCATGCTCCTGTAAAAAGTGTAAGACATTAAAAATTAATCAAAAAATCTTCACTGAATTTGGCTAAAGTTTTAATTGGTGAGCATTTAAGATTTTTTTTCCTTTCAGTCACTCTGAACTTGGGTAAAAGGGAAGAAGAAAAGTTACTGAATTAGAAGATTATTTTAAGCTGTGTTATTTTTTAATTACCAGCACATCACTGATGCTGGGTAAAAATAGGAGCCCGTTTTCATCTGCTATAAATGCTGAAATCAATAAAAATTGACATTACTCTCTTGTCACCTAATAGTATGTAAAACCAAGACACAAGGATTTAATTTATAACATTTTGTTTTGTTTTGTTTTTGATTGCTTGTTGTACCTCTTGTGCATTACCATTTCATTCACAATAACACTTAGATACCAGTTTAAAGGTTTTAAAATATTATTGACTTTGTATCTGTATCTTTATGGACCTACCTGATTTAATTCCAAACTTTTTTCTTTATCAGACCTAGCCTGAAAATTTTGCTCTGTGTTCTCATTCCTGAGGGTGTTTTACGTTTATGTCTGTATTCAATCTTAGGAGATGCAGATTTGCCAAGAGAATGGAGAGCTGCAAAGACATTCTATGGCCCTTGCCAAGACATTGTTTCTAGCACCAAGTTCCTCTTATTTAGTTCTGTGCAGATTCGATTCAGATGGGGCTTTTCTTCCTTAGAATGAAAGAATCATAGAATCATTTATGTTGGAAAACATCTTTAAGATCATCAAGTCCAACTGTTAATCCAGCATTACCACTGAACCCTGTCCCTAAGAACAATGTCTACCATCTTTTAAATAACTCCAGGGATGGTGACTCCACCACCTCCCTGGGCAACCTATTCCATTTTCATCAAATTAAAATGCAATACATAAAATATATAAAATGATAAAAGAAGATAAATGAGAACTACACTGCTACAGATATGTAGTACAAATATGTACTGTTTCTATAAAAGAGAGATATAAATAAAATGTAGAAACACATTTCAGCTACTGCTATTGTGTGAGCCATTTAATCCTACTGGTGAAATAGTTCTTGGTGCTGGCACTAGCTCTGCCCTATGGCTGTCTCATACAGAGCATTCACAGGCTAGTACAGCTTTCCCACTGTGATGGTAACAGAGACATTCTGCACCTCATCCAGCAGAGCCCAGCAAAGCAGTACTATGTTCTCCCTTCCACATTTCCTTTTCTATGCAGCTATTCTCCCTTCCTAGGGAGTTTGTAAAGAAGCTACCTTTTTCTCCTACCATGCCCATCTTCGTTTTCTAATTCCTCCTTGCCCTGATGCCTGTCAGCTATCACATCATTCTCTATCCAGCTGTATTTCAGCCCTCCTCTCCCCTTTCACCCAGTCTTGTTTATAAGCTCTGTGGGATGTGGAATTTCAGGGTTTGCACAAAGTATTGCACTTGTGATTGTTGCAAGGCTATTGTTTATAATGCAGGCAGTCTTCTTAAGCTATTTGCAAATTCAAAATTCACTATGCTCTTGCATAACCACAAACTTTCAGCTAAAAAGCATTCCTGACTTTTGTTGTAAGCATCAATTCACATCATGGAAATAAGAAGTCACCTTGATGAAGGAAATTGTTTCCACTGGTGGTCATGCTACTCTAAAAGGATAGAGACCCTGTTCTATCACAGATTATAGATCTATTATGGACACGTTGTCTAGATTAATTTCAAGCTGTGATAGTATAGACTGTGTCAAGCTTTTCACTATGGGTAATATGCTAAAAAAAATAAGAATCAGAGTGAGGAGTGAAATCTGCTGAAAAATTTATTTTAGTTGTTTTTAACTAAGGAGCAACCATGTCCTAAAACAAGCAATGCTGTCCTAAAAGGAGCAATGCTCCTACAAACACTGGCACAAACCAGAAAGTTCCCTTTGCAACCTGGGGAGGGCCACTGCTGGGACCAGATGAAAGGGAAGTAATGACAGCCTGGAAAGATGGGAGGGGAAAAGCCCAGCAGCCAGGGAAGAAGGAGACATGGGGCTAGCAGGTCCCCACAAACGAGCCACAGAGCCGTACCAGCCCTTGCTGGAAATGGGTGGCCATCCCAGTCCAGATGACAGCATTCAAAATGGATTTACACTCTAAGAAGAGACATGTTATTTAAAGCAAATTAAAATACTAAGTAATGAAGCAGGACTTGTGCTAATAAATGGTAAAAAATGGCTGAGAAACACCTGGTATTCACTTGTCTATAATACAGTTTCCTTCAGAAAGAAGTAGGCTGCTAGGTCATGGAGTTTGGTTTACTGATTGTATTGATGCTGGCTTACTCAACTAATTAAAATCCTCATTAGTGAACTTAACTGAAAGTCTGCTATTTTCAGGTCAGGCTTCTGCCTGCATTCATTTGTCTGATCCTGGGGTTAAAGCACATGGACTCAATAGCAGAAAATAGCTCTTCCCAGCCACCTCAGTCTCTTCTGGGGTGTCCTTGACAAGACACTTGAGTTGTTTGACTTTCTTTGCGAGGTTGTAATTGTGAAGGCAAGAACTTCCCACTTGTCAGACACACAGAAGCTAATTTCTTAACCTTTGAAAAACAAGGTGTCTGATAAAAAGGTATCAGTTGTATTTTTTCAGTCACTGACATTAGTCTGAACAGTGTGTAAGCACAAAGAGGGTGACTGCCTAAAGACCCCTGAAGACTTTGTGCTGCAGCAAACCTTGAGCTGCTTACACACAATTTGCAACAGCACTCTGAAAACCTGTGAATGAGATAACCAGCAGTAATATTGTTATGTGCAGGTAATACAGACTAGCGTGGTTAAACAGGGAGAGTGAAGGATTTGCACAGAGGTGTGCAAGATTGTATATGAACACTGTTGAAAATCAAGTCATCAGCTTCCCCTAAAGCACACTGATGAAATAAGTTTTCCATGGTTTACTATGTCTTTAAAGTTCTGAACAGCCTTTTGTTCTTCAGGTAATCAGTTCACAGTACAGTGTGGCTGCAGTGCACTTCAGGATTTCTGCCTTTAAAGAGATTATTCTGGGCCACACATACTAAATACAGCTGCCAAGATTCATGCTGATTGAAATAAACTAATGCCAGCTAAAGCTGAATGCAGCTACATAAAACAGAAATGGTACACTAGAGTTTATGCCCTCTACCTCCTCCTCATTCTCTCATGAACAAAGATTAAACTGGGTCTAAGAACATTTGAAAAAATTGTTTCTGTGGTGAAAATCTTAACCTGTTATCTTGTCACCAAGGATGTTTTGCAGTTTGTTTCACCCATATTTGAATGTGTAGTCCACAGTTGCAAACACAAAAAGCAAAATAGTGAAGAAATCTTTCATTATTTTTTAAATATTGTATGTTTATAATGTACAACATCTCTTTAAACATTGCTGATTAATACTTTATTTTCTACTTAAGAATTACTATTATTAATTAATATGGCAAAATGCTAGTGTAAATTGCATTGCTCTGGAAAATAAATTTTTAACAGTTGCTTTACTGGAGAATTGCATAGTACTCTCAGCTAATAACAAAACTACATGCTTTCTGTAGTTTTCTAAACATGGGGGAAAAAGCTCTTTTCCAGATGACAAGTCCTTATACTTTATAGGCTTATAAGGGGTCATCTGGAATGAAACCATTTTTCTACATCCCATTGTAGGATATAATGACACAGACATATTCTGAAAAAAATTATTTCATATTCTGAATGATTATTTCATGGACCAAAGAGAAATATCACTCAGGGAGATAGTGGCTTTTGAGCACAGTGGTGACTGGCGGCTAGTATGAGAAGACCCTCGAAGGTGTCACCCTGGGAAGGAGAGCCTCTGCAGGTATGTTCTTGGGGACTGCTTCTTTTCAGAGATTTTGTCTTCCAAAAAGCACTAAGAATTTATCTCACATTATATTTTGTATTGAACATACACAAATACAAATGGCTTTCCATAATATATGTCTCTACTGGGAAAGAATGAAACAATTCTGGTGGATTCAGCTGGAAAGTATAGAAAACTCTGTGGGAAGTTTTGAAATGAAAGCAGACAATTTTAAAACAACGTTTCTGCTCAATATTTTAAGATCAGGCTATGACGTACAGGTCACAAGAGCCTTTATCCTTAAATTAGTATTCTCTAAATGCTGAGAACACCAGCATACTATGCCATCATTAAAACCTCAGGCTTTTTCATGTTTCTTCTGATTTTGTAGGATGAAAAAAAAAAGGAAGACATTTTGGAACTATATGTTTCTAGATGCAAATCAGTTGCACAGTGTGATTTGCTTTGGAAGTGTCTGGCTTCTACTGAGAAGTAGACAGAGAAACAACTTCAAGTTCTGGAAGCACTGGAGATCAAGAACTGCTGCAATGCTCCATGCTCCTTTTTTACTATTATTATTTTATTTTCCCATGGAGAAGTGCTACCTTTATCTTCTCAAAACTCATGATCTGTCTGAATCCTTTTCACTGTTTTTAACCAATGAACACTTAGAAAAAATTCAGCTCCAACTGCAAGTTCCTCAGACCTGTCTCTCAGATGGGACACAGTGAGAAAATTTCACTGCTCTTTGCCAAATAACTACAAGCTCTTTTCCCTTGTGCTCCACTAAGAAATATGATGCTTTGTGGAAGTTTTCCTGAAAAGCACTGTCATCTCCATCTCTCCTTGTAGCATGTAGTACTCAAGCTCCAAGTACTCATAGCACCACTTCTGTACATTTTCCAATGGTTAATACTAAATAATATTGCTGATATTATTTGCTGTAATACTCATGTTACAAACAACACAAAAGCCAATTACCCACCTATACTATTACTTGATGAAACTCTAGAGACTTCTCTCTTGTGGAACACTTGGTCATGTAGGGACAGAATATACAACTGGAGCTTTGGGGAACAAGTATTTGAGGAAAATATTTGGCTGAAGGAGAAGATATCGTGAGACAGCTTTATGGGAAACCAGGGAGAAGTGGATTGTAAATCTTTACCCAAATAGAGGAGGCACAGCTGTCTGGTTATTTAGACACAAATTGGACTCCCTACAGTGAACAGGACAGTGTAGGCTATTCACTTGGACTGCATGGACTCAGTATTTCAGCACTGTCACCAAGACCATTGGTAACAGAAGTGAAAAAGGTTGATGAAGATGAGGTTAACAAGGCTCATACACCGTGATCATCATGTTGCACTCCTTCCTAAATAAAAAGATTTAGGGAAAAGGTGAAATGCAACGCTACTAGCAAATCCTCCCCCATGGAGTGATTCATAAATATTGTTTTAACTACAGTGCAATCAACATTCTTTACAAACAATGACTGTACAAAAGCTAATCTTACCATCATTTATCCTCTCTTTTTTTGATTTTAGGACTTGTTTTTTAAAAAGCAAGGGTGAATCATTATTAACAATACGCATTTCTATTATTAATAGTATGTTTTCTTAGACTGACTGCTACAAGTAGAAAAACCGGTCCAACTGTAGGACATGAACAATGTTGAAATAGTGTAGTGGTAGTAGATCATCAAGCCCTTGTACATGCTTCCCACTCACAATTTCATGCGCTGGAACACATACAAGCATTGAAAGATGTGTTAGAAAATAATCCTCTTTTGAAACAGGGCTCTCCAGATCCTCCCTTCCAATTGCACAGGCCCCAACCTCACTAAACTCTCTAGAAGAGGCAAGTTGCCTGTGGCCAAAACAAACCAAATGTATTTAGGCCCTTCACAAATGCAAAACTTAACCAACATCAACATCATTATCAGCACAACAAATATGCCTTAACACAGAACAATCAAATCCAATGCCTGTAATTCTGGGGACTTTTCATCAGGTGCATTGAGTGCTCCCAAGGTAACTATGCAGGTGAAACTAAGCAACTACTGGGCAGCTGAAAGAGTGAACACTCACAATTAAAGAACAGAAGTTCCCCAGTTATCAGGGAGAGTGTACATCTCACAAGATAATCACTGCATTTTGAGTATCTTAAGCCAGACTCTTGAGGATTCCTACA